TCAGACAATTTATCTTAGTTAATGCAAATCTTAGTTACTGCACCTTTATTGGCCAATACAACAGATAACAGTAGTCCATGGTTAATGCTGAAGTTGTTATAAAGTGCATTGATATGTGTATTAACATTGAACCTTCAATCTGAAATTGTAAGTTAAGACTTTCATTTATAACATTATGCACATTCAAAATACAGCTAACAGGACGGGGGCATTGACAACTTTGACAGTGGCACTGCCAGCATCTCCAGGCAACAGCTTTATTGTTAAACTACCATCCAGCATACAGATTTAGAGGGAAATTTCAGTGCAGTGACTGTATAACAGTTGCCAACAGATATATCTACAAACATAACTTATACAGCTACCACCAAATATACTGATAATAATAATAACAATAATAATACTGGTGTCTTCACCAGCTTGAACTTTACCATTAAAAGCACAATGCAAAAAGTGTTTCATAAACTGACACCTTTGAATCAATGAATCTCCGCATTTTACTGCTATGTCACTTAATGGGTCAAGTCATGTCAGTGTGTAATGTCCAGTATCACAAATCACAGATTTGCTCAAGCGGCTAAACAGGCTAACCTTAGATCAGTGGTTCCCAGCCTGGGCAAGGTAAGATAAATCTGAGGGGTTGCAAGATGTTTAATTGAACAGGAACCACAAAAACTGATTTCTACAGAAAAATGTGTCTAGACCTTACTCTTATTATTATAGAGGAAAAACCCAACAAACCCCCTTGAGCAGAACTTGGTGACAGTGGGGACGAAAAAACTCCCTTAAATGGAAGAAACCTCCAGCAGACCCCAGCTCTTGGTGGGCGGCCTTCTGCCGCAACCGGTAACTACTGGATAATTTAACATTGTCAGGTCGCTAAGATTGAATTCAGGAACAATTACTCTTTGGTGTACTTTTTACAACCAGAACAATGAGGGGTCACTCACAAGAGGATACTGCTTTGTTTTGAGGGGTCACAAGCCAAAAGGGCAGGGAACCACTGTCCTCGGGTCAGTGGTGACCCATTGTCATTTTTTATCAAAAAAAAAAAAGATATTGGTAATTATTTTTTCAAGCTCAGACTCAGTGGCCTTGGCTCATTTTCTGTGAAGAACATATATCAGAACACATTTGCAACGACCACACACTGCACCCCACCCCCTACACATTGACACTACATACAGGATGTTTGTGGGTCGAAAATGACTCGCGATAATAGATTTTATTAAATTTAGTTGAAAAACAAAATAAGAGTAGCACTAACAACGGTAAAGGGCAAATGTAAATGTCTGTTAAGTATTTTAACATAAAATTGTTTGATTGTGGTGAATTACAAAGCCAGAAATTCTGAGGAACGAACACTGGCAGTGTTACCAAAAAATAAACAGTGCATTGTGAAAAGAAGATGTACAGAGGATAGTTATAAAAAGCAGCACTATATAGTAACCCAAAATATCAATAACCCTTTTCAACCAGCAGATGGCACTGTTGTATAACTAACCACCTCTTCTGCGTTTGTGTCCTAAATATTCCATTCATTTGCCTTGATCTGAACCATTGGCCTATGAATATACTTCTTTACATCATATAGAGTAATGTATGCTTCATCACTCACTCGCTAGCAGGAGGCTAGAGGCTAATTTTAGGGTGTATGAACTTATAATGTACAGTATCTGCTGTACCATGTGTGACTAATATTTCAAATCTCTTGCTCATTTACAAGAATTGATGATACATGTGATTACTTTCTTTGGCCCCTTAATTACTGTGAGAGTTTATTCTCACAAGAAACCTGATGCAACAACACAAGAGGAGTTATTATTTCACCACATTGTCCCTCTGCATCATCCACATAAAGAGGAAGATCTAACCCTTAATGTGACTATAGACAGAAAAACAAATGTCATGTGAGCATTTCTGGGAGAAACCCACTCTCCTTGAGTGATGTCGTATGTTCTGTCCATGTACTTTTTGGTATTTGAAGTTTATAACAATGAACAATACCAAAAAGTACATGGGCCATTCTGGATATTAATAATACAAAAAGGAAAGTGTTCAACAGACTGAAGACCCTGTGAAGTCAGTGCCTGAAAAAAATACTTTATTTTCTGTGATCACCTTTTCAAGAGCACTTTCAGCTTCCTACATATACACTGTGTGCACAATTATTAGGCAAGTGAGTATTTTGACCATATCATCATTTTATCCATAATTTCCAACTCCAAGCAGTATAAACTTGAACGCTTATTGGACTTAATGCATATCAGGTGATGTGTTTTAGTGTAACGAGGGAGGGTGTGGCCTAAGGAGATCAACACCCTATATCAAGCGCTGCATAATTATTAGGCAGAATGTTCTCCTCTGGAAAAATGGGCCAAAAAAGAGATTTAACTGACTCTGAAAAGTCAAAAATTGTAAAAAGTCTTTCACAGGGATGCAGCACTCTTGAAATATCTAAGATATTGGGGCGTGATCACAGAACCATCAAACATTTTATAGCAAATAGTCACCAGGGTCGCCAGAAACGTGTTGAGAAGAAAAGACGCAAATTAACCACCAGAGATTTGAGAAGAATCAAATATGAAGCTACCAGGAACCCATTATCCTCCAGTGCTGCCATATTCCACAACTGCAACCTACCTGGAGTGTCAAGAAGTACAAGGTGTTCAGTTCTCAGAGACATGGCCAAGGTAAGAAAGGCTGAAACCCGACCACCTCTGAACAAGACACATAAGTTGAAACGTCAAGAATGGGCCAAGAAATATCTGAAGACAGATTTTTCAAAGGTTTTGTGGACTGATGAGATGAAAGTGACTCTTGACGGACCAGATGGATGGGCCCATGGTTTGATCAGTAACGGACACAGAGCTCCACTTCGACTCAGACGCCAGCAAGGTGGAGGTGGGGTACTGGTATGGGCTGGTATTATTAAAGATGAGCTAGTTGGACCTTTTCGGGTTGAAAATGGACTCAAAATCAACTCTCAGACCTACTGCCAATTTTTAGAAGACACTTTCTTCAAGCAGTGGTACAGGAAAAAGTCTGCATCTTTCAAGAAGACTTTGATTTTTATGCAAGACAACGCTCCATCACATGCAT